GTGGGCAGTTGGGGGCAGGGGGCGGAGCCTCACCCGCAGGCCCCTCCCAGCCCGGGCGCCGCCGGGCGCTGTTGGAGGCGGCGCTGGCGCAGGCGCGGGGGCGGCGCCGGGCGGCCATGACGGGGGCGGGGCTGGAGCGGCACCTGCAGGCGCTGGCGGCCGTGGCCAATCAGATGAGGCTCCGCCCACCTTTCCTCACAGAGGTGGGTGGGGCTGAAAGGGGGCGTGGTTTCTGCTGAAAAGGGGCGGGGCTTGGCAAGGATTTGCCATATAAGGAGGCGGGTGGAGCTCGAGGGTGGGGACTGGGCTAAGAAAGGGTGGGGCTTAAACTAAAAGGGGTGGGGCTTAATGTTTGCCATATAAGGAGGTGGGTGGAGCTTGGGGGGTGGAGCTTGACTGAAACTGCCTTATAAGGTCATGGGTGGAGCTTGAGGGTGGAGCTTGGCTATCAATTGCCTTATGAGGATGTGGGTGGAGCCAAGGTGGGAATGGTATTCTCCTTATATGGTCAATGAGGTGTGGCCACTGAAGGGTGTGGCCTAAAGCGAGTCACTGTGATTGGTTGGCACAGTGCTTGTGGGTGTGGTCTCATTTGCATATCCCTGCCCTCTAGGTGCTGGGGCAGCCCTGGGCTCTGGCCTTTAGCCCCGCCCCCCGGCCACACCCCCCTCTGCTGCCCCACCCCCTGCGGCCTGCGGGGGGGGGCTTCAACCCGGTGGGTACTGGGAGTTACTGGGAGGGACTGTGGGGGACTGGGAGGGACTGGGAGTTACTGGTTGTCACTGGGAGGTCACTGGTTGTTACTGGGGGGTTACTGGGAGGTCATCGGGGGTCACTGGGGGGTCACTGGTTGTTACTGGTTTTTACTGGTTGTGACTGGTTTTTACTGGTATTTACTGGTATTTACTGGTTGTTACTGGTATTTACTGGTTTTTACTGGTATTTACTGGGGGGGTCACTGGTTGTTACTGGTTTTTACTGGTTGTGACTGGTTTTTACTGGTATTTACTGGTATTTACTGGTTGTTACTGGTATTTACTGGTTTTTACTGGTATTTACTGGGGGGGTCACTGGTTGTTACTGGTTTTTACTGGTTGTGACTGGTTTTTACTGGTATTTACTGGTATTTACTGGTTGTTACTGGTGCCCCCAGCCCCACCAGGACGGTTACGGCGTTTCCTTCGTGGGGGGAGGGGACGGCCCCGCCCTGGTGCACATCTCGTGCCGGGAGCGCTCCCCCAAAACCGTGAGTGCCCCAAAACCCCCAAAATCACCCCAAAACACCCAAAAAACACCCGAAAAACACCCGAAATAACCCAAAAAACACCCAAAATAACCCAAAAAACACCCGAAATAACCCAAAACCACCCCAAAATAAACCCAAAACCCCCAAAATCACCCCAAAACCCCCAAAAACACCCAAAAAACACCCGAAATAACCCAAAAACCACCCAAAATAATGCCAAAACACCCCCAAAATCACCCAGAACCTGCCAAAATCACCCCAAAACACCCAAATCACCTCAAAACACCTAAAAAACACCCAAAATAACCCAAAAAAATCCAAGAAACACCCGAAATAACCCAAAAAACACCCGAAATAACCCCAAAACACCCCAAAATCACCTAAAATAGTCCCAAATTCTTCCAAAATAATCCAAGAAACCCCTAAATCCCTCCAAAATCACCCCAAATCCCCCCCAAAAATCCCAAATTCCTCCACAAAAAAAACCCAAAAGACCCCAAATCCCCTAAAAAAAACCACCCAAAATCCCTCAAACCTCCAAAATTCCTCAAATCCCCACCCCCAAAATCCCAAAATTCCTCAAATCCCCCCCCAAAAATCCCCAAAAAACCCACAAAAAATCCCAAAATCCCCCAAAAAATCCCCCCAAAAATCCCCCCAAAAATCCCCCCAAAATCCCAAAATCCCCCCAAAATCCCCCCAAACCCCCCCAACCCCCCCCGGCCGGGGGTCCCGGGGTCCCCCCTGAGGCCGCCCCTCCCCCCCAGGACCCCCGGCTCTTCTCGCAGAGGCTCCGGGAGGCGCTGGGGAAACTGAGGCAGCTGCAGGGGGGGGAGGGGTGAGGGGGGCGCCGGCCCCTCCCCCCCCAATAAAAGAGCTGAGAGAGACCCTCCCCCCACTCCTTGGTGTACTGGGAGTTACTGGGAGGGACTGGGAGGGGATTGGGGGGGCACTGGGAGGAACTGGGATGGACTGGGGGGATACTGGGAGTTACTGGGAGACACTGGGGGGGTCACTGGAGGTCACTGGGAGTTACTGGGAGAGACTGGGAGGGGATTGGGGGGATACTGGGAGTTACTGGGGGGTCACTGGGAGGAACTGGGAGGGGATTGGGGGGATACTGGGGGCGATTGGGGGGCACTGGGGGATACTGGGAGGAACTGGGAGGACATTGGGAGTCACTGGGAGTTACTGGGAGGACACTGGGGGTTACTGGGAGTTACTGGGAGGGCACTGGGGGTTACTGGGAGTTACTGGGAGTCACTGGGAGGGCATTGGGAGTCACTGGGAGTTACTGGGAGGGCACTGGGAGTCACTGGGAGGACATTGGGAGTCACTGGGTGGACATTGGGAGTCACTGGGAGTTACTGGGAGGGCACTGGGGGTTACTGGGAGGGCACTGGGGGTTACTGGGAGTTACTGGGAGGGCACTGGGGGTTACTGGGAGGGCACTGGGGGTTACTGGGAGTTACTGGGAGGGCACTGGGGGTTACTGGGAGGGCACTGGGGGTTACTGGGAATCACTGGGAGGTCACCGGAGGTCACTGGGAGGTCACGTGGTGTCACCGAGCCCGCCAAACCGCCCACCGGACGTGACGCACAAAACCACGCCCACACCACCCGGAAGCGGGCGGATCCCCCACCGGAAGCTCCGCTTTCCCCTCACGACCAAGATGGCGGCGCGGCGCCGCTCCGGCTCCTCCCGCGGCGCCAATCGCGACAGGCCCCGGCCCCGCTGTCGCGACAGGGAACCCGCGGAGCCCCCGGGCCGCGTTTACGTGCCCGGGACGGGCCCGGCGCTGGGCCCCGAGGAGGAGCTGGTGATGGATGAGGAGGCGTACGTGCTCTACCACCGAGCCGGCACCGGTGCGCGGCCCGGGGGGGACCGGGAGGGTTTCGGGGGGATTTTGGGGCGCTTTTATGGGAATTTTGTGGATTTTGTGGGGATTTTGGGGGTTTGGGGAGGTTTTTGGGGGGATTTTGGTGTTTTTGTGGGGATTTTGGGGGTTTGGGGAGGCTTTTGGGGGGTTTGGGGTATCCCGAGTTTGTGAGGGACGGTTTGAGGGAGATTCTGAATTTTCTGTGTTTAAATCGCTTTCCAGTGTGAATTTTCGGAAGTTTTTTAATCGGTTCATTTCTAAATTGTCGAAATATTTTGATTAATTCCATTCTAAAACATTTCTGAACCGATGGAACTCTGCATTTTCCAAGCGGTTTTGATGATTCCCTTCTGAGTCTCCATCCTGCTGCCCTCAGGTTTTTTTTTTTGGGGGGGGGTGTTTTTGGGGTGCTTTGGGGTATTTTTGGGTGTTTTTGGGGTGTTTTGGAAGAGTTTTGGAGTCTCTGAGCCCTGTTTTTTCCAGGCTCGCTGTGCCTGAGCTTGTCGGGTTTTTGGGGTGTTTCTGGTTGTTTTTGGGTGTTTTTGGGGTGTTTTTTGGTGTTTTTGGGGTCTCTGAGCCCTGTTTCCCCCAGGCTCGCCGTGCCTGAGCTTTGACAGAGTTTTGGGGTGGTTTTGGGGTGTTTTTGGATGTTTTTGGGGTGTTTCTGGTTGTTTTTGGGATGTTTTTGGGTGTTTTGGGGTGTTTTTGGGGTCTCTGAGCCCTGTTTTCCCCCAGGCTCGCCGTGCCTGAGCTTTGACGTGCTGCGGGACGCGCTGGGCGAGGGCCGGGAGCAGCTGCCGCTGTCGGTGCTGCTCTGCGCCGGCACCCAGGCCGAGACCCCCGGCAGGAACCGGTGAGAGACCCCCGGAACCCCCCCAAAACTCCTCAGGACCCCTCCCCAAATTCCTTAAAGAACCCCCCTGAATTCCTCCTGAGAGACCCTCCCCGATTTTATCCCGGGCCTCCTCCAATTCCTCTGAAAATCCCCCCAAATTCCTCTGAGAACCCTCCCAAAATTCACCCCCAGGACCCCCAAATTCTTCCTGTGACCCCCCAAATCCCTCAGGACCCCTCCCCAAATCCATCCAAACCCCCAAACTCACTCAGGACCCCCCCAAACAGCTCCCGACCTCTCCCAGACCCCCCCAAAACCTCCCAAAATCACCCTCAGGACCCTCCCTGACCCCCCCAGATTTTGGCTTTCTCCTCTGGGAGGTTTTGGGGTCCCCCCGGGGGTTTTGGGGATTGATTTTTTTTGCGGGGGGGGTTTTAGGGTGCTGCTGATGCGGATGCAGAACCTGCACGGGCTGCGGCGGGGGAAGGACAGCGACAGCGAGGAGGAGGAGGAGGAGGAGGAGGATGAGGAGGATGAAGAAGAGCGGGAGCCGCAGCTGCTGCTCCTCATGGCCCCCCACTACGGGGGGATCAACAGGCTGCGGGTACGGAGCCCTCCCCCCAAAAAACAACCCCGAAAACTACACTGGGAACAACAAAAATCACCTTGGGAACAGCAAAAATCATCAAAAATCACCCTGGGAACACCAAAAATCACCTTGGGAACAATAAAAATCACCTTGGGAGCCCAAAAATCACCCTGGGAACAACAAAAATCATCAAAAATCACCCTGGGAACACCAGAAATCACCCTGGGAAAAACAAAAATCATCAAAAATCATCCTTGGAACACCAAAAATCACCCTGGGAACAACAACAGTCACCAAAAACCACCCTGGGAACACCAAAACTCACCCTGGGAACAACAACAATCACCCTGGGAACAATAAAAATCACTTTGGGACCCCAAAAATCATTCTGGGAACACCAAAAATTGCTCTTGGGAACAACAAAAACCACCATGGGAAGAATAAAAATCCCCAAAAATCAGCCTGGGAACACCAAAAACTTTCTGGGACTCCCCAGATAACCCTGGGACCCTCCAAAATTACCTTGGGACCCTCAAAATTCCTCTGGGAGCCCCAAAAATCACCCTGGGATCCCCCCAAAAACCCCAAATCTTCCCTCGAGTCCCTCCCAGGACCCCCCAAAATCCCTCCCTCACCTTCCTTCGCCCCTTTTGGGGGTCCCAAACCCCGGTGACCCCCGGATTTTCCGTGTCCCCCCACAGGTGACGTCCCTCGGGGGGTCCCCGGTGGCGGCCGTGTGGTCGGAGCGGGGCCAGGTGGAGGTGCTGGAACTGGGGAGGGCCCTGGGGGTCCTGGAGGGGCCATTTGGGGAGGGGGATTCCAGGAGGGGGCAGAGGAGCGTGCAGCAGGGAGCTCTGCCCGAGCTCGCCACCTTCAGCGGACACCTGGACGAAGGGTTCGCGCTGGACTGGAGCCCACAGAGCCCAGGTGAGGGACGGGGGAAAATGGCGGCCGGCGTGAGGGGGAAAGGGCGGGAAACATGAGGGGACAAAATGGCGGCCAGCGTGAGGGGAAAGGGCGGGAAACATGAGGGGACAAAATGGCGGCCGGCGTGAGGGGGAAAGGGAGGGAAACGTGAGGGGACAAAATGGCAGGAAATGTGAGGGGGAAATACGGGAAATGTGAGGGGAAATGTGAGGGGAAAGGGTGGGAAATGTGAGGGGGAAATGGTGAGAAATGTGAGGGGAAATGTGAGGGAGGAAGGACGAGAAATGTGAGAGGAAAGGGTGAGAAACTTGAGAGGAAAATACGGGAAATGTGGGGAAAATGTGAGGGAAAATAATGGGAAATGTGAGGGGATAAAAGGTCGGCTGGCATGAGGGGGAAAGGGCAGGAAACAAGAGGGAAGAGGGGAAATGCGAGGGGAAAATGGTGGGAAGTGAGGGGAAACGTGAGGGGAAAACGGGGACCAGTGTGAGGGGAAAAAGGCGGGAAACGTGAGGGGACAAAATGGCAGCTGTCATGAGGCAGAAAGGGCAGGAAACATGAGGGAAAATGGTGGGAAGTGTGAGGAAAAACGTGAGGGGAAAAGGGTGAGAAACACGAGGGGACAAAATGGTGGCAATCGTGAGGGGGAAAGATTGGGAAACTGGGGGTCCCGGTAAGCTGCAAAATGGGGAATTTTGGGGCTTTATGGGGGTCGGGGTGGGCCAGAGCCTGAGCCCCCCGGTACAGATTTGGGGTGGAACGGGGGATTTTGGGGTGGAAGGGGGGATTTTGGGGTTCACCACACAGCGGAGCCACATCCCCCCGTCCCCCCCAGGCCGGCTGCTGTCCGGGGACGTCCGCGGGCGCGTCCATCGCTGGGAGCCGCGCGAGGCCGGCTGGGCCGTGGACCAGCGGCCGCTGCTCGGGCACAGCGGCAGCGTGGAGGACATCCAGTGGTCACCCAGCGAGGCCTCGGTGAGCGGCCGCCGGAGCCTCGCCCCGCGGAGCCGGGGCCAAACGTTCGTTAGTTAATATCTTAATTAATATCTTAATTAACCCCAGGTGTTCATCTCGTGCTCCTCGGACGCCTCCATCCGCGTGTGGGACGTGCGGGCGCCGCCGCCCCGCGCCTGCCAGCTGAGCGTGGCCTCGGCGCACGACGGCGACGTCAACGTTCTGTCCTGGAGCCGGCGCGACGCGGCCGCGCTGCTCAGCGGCGGCGACGACGGCGCCCTGCGCCTCTGGGACCTCCGCAGCATCCGGGTGAGAGCCTGGCGCCCCCGGGAATGCCAAATCCTGCCCCATAGAGCCCAAATCTGACCCATGGATCCCTAATCTGACCCAAAGATCTCAAATCTGACCCAAAGATCCCGAATCTGACCCAAAGATCTCAAATCTGACCCATGGATTCCAAATCCTGCCCCATGGATCCCAAATCTGACCCATGGATCCCTAATCTGACCCAAAGATCTCAAATCTGACCCATGGATTCCAAATCCTGCCCCATGGATCCCAAATCTGACCCATGGATCCCATATCCCCCCCATAGACCCCAAATCTGCCCGATAACTCCTCCAAATCTGCCCCGTAGACCCAAATTCTCCCCCACAGACCCCCCCAGGCCACCCCACAGACCCCAAATCTGCCCCATAACCACCCAGATCTGCCCCATAGACCCCAACTCTGCCCCATAGACCCCAAATCTGCCCGATAACTCCTCCAAATCTGCCCCGTAGACCCAAATTCTCCCCCACAGACCCCCCCAGGCCCCCCCACAGACCCCAAATCTGCCCCATAGACCCCAGATCTGCCCCACAGACCCCCCTGAACTCACCCCCAGCCCATATTTCCCCCCCCAGAGCAGCTCCGCCTGCGTGGCCACCTTCAAGCAGCACCGCGGGCCCATCACGTCGGTGCAGTGGCACCCGGCCGAGAGCGGCGTGCTGGCGGCCGCCGGCGAGGACGACCTGGTGACGCAGTGGGACCTGGGCGTGGAGCGGGACCCCCAGGCCCCGGGGGAGGATGAGGAGGGCGAGGAGGGGCTGTCGGAGCTGCCCCCGCAGCTGCTGTTCCTGCACCAGGGAGAGAAGGAGGTGAAGGAGCTGCACTGGCACCCGCAGTGCCCGGGGCTGCTGCTCTGCACCGGCCGCCACGGCATCGCCGCCTTCCGCACCATCAGCGTCTGAAATGGGGGCAGAAAGGGATCCGGGGGGGTCGGAGCGGGACGGCTCGGAAATGAGGAGTCAACTTCTGCAGGGGGTGGGGGTTCCCCAAAAACGGGGGTGGGAAAGGCGGGAATGGGGCTGGAATTGCGCTCGGAATGGGAATGGGACAGCCCCAAAAATGAGGATTAAACATCCCCAAAATGGGGGTGAGAGTTCCCCCAAAAGGGGGTTGGAAAGGCGGGAATGGGGCTGGAATCCCACTTGGAATGGGGATGAAGCAGTTTGGAAAATGAGGATTAAACATCCCCAAAATGGGGGTGGGGAAGGGCTGAAGTGGGGACGGGACAGCCCCAAAAATGAGGATTAAACATTCCCAAAATGGGGGTGGGAAGGGCTGGAAAGGGGCAGGAATGGGAATGAGACAGTTTGGAAAATGAGAATTAAACATTCACAAAACGAGGGTGGGAATTCCCCCCAAGATGGGGGTGGGAATTTGGGGAAGGATCCCCTCAAAACGAAGCCGGAGCAGCCCCAATTTGGGGGCGACCCTGCCCAAAAAACGTGGAGGCGTCACCTCAACCCCGATGTCCCAAAATCCCGAGGCTCCGACTCCCCTTCCTCATCCTCCCCGTGACGCACAGAAACCAAAAAAAAACCCAAAAAAAACCTTTTTTAATTTTAATTTCGGTTTTTATTACAAATTTCTTCCGGTGCAGGAAAAAAAGCTCCGGGGTCACGTGACGGGGGAAGGGTGTGGTCTAGGAGCGTCACGTGACGCAGGAGGGGGCGTGGTCCGGGCGGGTCACGTGAGGTCGCGGCGCCACTGGAGCGCGGTGCAGGCGAGGGCGCCCCCTGGCGGCGCGGAGCAGAGCAGCAGCGCTTTGCG